ATATTATACAGGATTAATTAATATTAATAAATATCAACAACAAATAGACCCTCTTCAGCATTACTACAGGAGGCTTTGAACTAGGAACAGAAGGGATGGAAAAGAAAAGAATAGTAATAGGTCATTCACAATGATGTGCCAGGCACTTAATGGCAGTTTTCTCTAGCTAATCCTCATAATCACTTTGATATATTTTTACTTCCCTTTACAGATGGGGAAACTGAGATTTAGAGGTTACACAACTTGCCAGCTAAAACAGCTAGGGATTTGTCTGTCAGACTCCCAGTCATTTTGCAGCAGTGGTTCCCACACCCTTTGGCTGCAACAAGCCAGGAGGCTAGGACTCCAACCTGGAGCTGGGGTGGTAGAGGTTATGTCTGGAGAAGCCCAAGGATCACCACCAGTCAGGACAGACACCACTCTTATGCCTCTTGGGCACGACTGTACATGGAACCATTGAATTATGGCGACTGCAAAAAGCAAGAATTATACCTTAGAACTGCTCCATCGCAATGGCTCTGGTCTCACATTTCTCTGAGATCATGGCAATATTTACACTTCCGTTCCAGGTCCTCAGAGGCCTGGGTGGGTCCCCGCCTGGGCTCCCATTTCCTGGTGCCCATACAGATGTGGTAATGGTTAGGTACAGAGCCCAAGCCCGGCTGCTGCGGCCGATGTCATCAGTGGGGTCCCCCTATAAGCGAGGGGAAGGGGGGGCCCTCCCCATTGGGGCTGTGCCGCATGGAGTCATCCCAAGAGATGCCGAGGACACTGATATGGCCAGGAACAGAGGCCACCTTGTGTGTGTCCCTTTCCTGGCCACGGTGTCACTTTGACAGATGTCAGACTTAGCGTCCCTAGAAATGGGCCCATTATGGACTCGAAAACCTGCAGCCGTTTCCAAATGCAGCTTCTCCCGGCCAAAAACACACATGCGGTGCTCAGGCATGTGCCAAATGTGTGCGGATAGGGGCCGCTTCCCTGCTGTGCACCAGCACTAATGGTCCAGCCCCCGGCAGAGGCCGCGGCTGCCGTCCAAATGCACTGGTCCTGCAGGGCCCATTCGGCGCGGAGTGAAAATCCTCTCCGCAGTTATCAATTTACATAGTAATTCCTGTGTATACTGTTGAATTTCCCCCCATCTGTACTCGTTGCCTTTATCTAAACCAACTGGCCCCAAAACCACTTGATCAAATACATGCTTTATTCCAGTCAGCAGCCGGGGGATGAGGTACTGGAAGCATAGCTCGCTATCCAGTCCAGAAAGTTAATTACTAATGTAATTATCAAAACCTCTTATTTTCAGGGTTAAGTCAAGCCTCTCCATGGGCAGGCTGTCTACCCGGTTTGTTTGTTCTCCAACTGACATGTAATTAGCTCTTAAGGGCAATGCATTTTTGGACTTTTTAAAGCCCAAACACAAATATTTGAGTAACTATACTATCTACGGGCTATTTCCTCATCCATAGGATTTAAAAATAAAACAAAGCCATTAAGCCAATTGAACCCATCACCTCAAACTCTCTGCGTTCAAGGCTGCCTCTACATGACTTTTTCTACAGCAGATAAAACAAATGTAAAGCTCCTTTTTCCCCTATAAAATGTTCCAGGCTCCTATAATGCTATTTCCTCTTCGTGCTTGTGACGGATTATTTCTTCTCCAAGAAATCTCACATTCAGTTTTGGTGGGGCTGCTCACTTGCATAGAAAGAAAGAATTAAGCTGCAGGTCCTCAGCCCCGAAGCAGCTCCAACAGCAGAACAGAGACGTTTGTCTAACTGCCCAAAGGCAGAACTCAAAGTCAGGAAATACAGATAAATCTGATGCAGTGAAAGGGAGCATCAAGGCCTGAAAGTTACAGCTTTTCAAGAAAACCTGAGTTCCCACAAAGACTCGGTCTGTGATGAGCTCATGGCCTCGAGCGGGATCTTGACTTAAGCCGGCAGTGCTGTGTTCATGGCCTGGACGAGGACCTTAAACCCTCTAACAGGGCCGTCTGGACTCGGGGGCCTGTGGCCAGCATGGGAAGCTCAGGGCACCCACCTGGTCTCCTCCTGCTAGAGGCCACCCCTTGCCTGCTGCAACTGGCCTGGAATCTCACAGAAAGAGAACTTGAATATGTGGATGGGGCATCTTACTTTCTCACTAACTACTGTTTAAGGGGAGAACAGAGTATTTAGCCAGACTCAAATTGGCTGACATCAATTTTACTCGCCACCACATTCTAGCACCTTTGATGAGCACTAATTAAGCTCCTGTGGTGTTTCTCCTCCCCAGTCTGCCTTCAGCCGCTCTGGAACACAGCACAGCAAATTAGGCCCATCTGTCTGCACGGGAAGAAGTTCAGTTTCCCAAGGCCAGAGAGCTTCCTTTCCCACCTAGAAGCCGCCTTCCGAGGTTCCCAAACACCGTGGGATGGTGATGGTAATGGTACTTCCTAACCAGCAAGAATTCTGGGGAGAGCAGATGCATGCTGCACGAAGGACTGCCTCCCAGTTCCTGGCCATCATTTCCTTGCACCGTGAAATGTCCAGGGAGGCCACAAAGTATGCTACCAGACTATCATTCAAGCTCAAGCCTGCAAATCCAGTGCGATATTTAAGTTCTTCTGCTACAATCTTGCCAAAAAGAATGTCTTTTTTCATTAACTGTGCCCCAACAGGAAAGTCTAATTAATTTTAACAGAAGCAGAGAAGTCTTTTTGTCACATAATGTTTCTTTCTTTAAAGGAATAAAATACACCTCCGCCATCCCCAGTTCATACAAGCCAGGAGACAAAGTTTTAGAAAAGAAGCCATTGGCAACAAAGATGCTCACGGGTCTGCCTGAGCCACAATGCCAGGCTCTCAGCTACCCCCAGCTGATGCTTCTTATTATACTAATTCCCACCCTTGCCATCAGCTAAGTCAGCAAGCAAAAAAGGAGAATCAATAATATTTGACAGTCATGATATAATGAGATTCCTGACCCAAGTTAAGAGAAGAAATTAAAACGCCTAAGATGGCCAAGGTCTTACTCGGTGGAGGTGGATCACACCTACTTATAGAATATGTAGCAGTGCAGCCTAAACCACTAGTTGGGTCCTTATGTAACAGGTCCCTATAACATAAAATGAATTCTATATAATAAAACCCTAATATGCTAAGTGTCCGACCACCTGTTCGACCATTGACCGGTCGACCACTATGATGTGCACTGACCACCAGGGGGCAACTCTCTGACCCGTAGGTTAGCTTGCTATTGGGGTCTGACTGATCAGGACTAGGCAAGAAGGGCCGGACTTGCCCTGGAGCCCTCCTGTGATCACTCCCTGGCCAGCTGGCCCCAATCGCCCTAATTGGGATTAGGTGAGATGGCCCAGATTGGGCTGATAGGGACTGGGTGAGATGGACAGGACACGCCCTCAAACCCTCCGGCAATTTCCCCTCAGACCTGATCGTGCAGGGTCCCTCAGCCTGGCCTGTGCCCTCTCACAATCTGGGACTCTTTGGGAAATGTCAGAGAGCCAGTTTCGGCCTAATCCCAGCAGGCCAGGCCAAGGGACCCCACCAGTGCACAAATCCATGCATCGGGCCTCTAGTTATTAATAGAAGAGAATCTGTTTCTAGTTTCTTAATGGGTCTTTTTTTTTTTTTTTCCTACTCTAAGGAAAATAAATGTTAAGGATTCAATTGAATCAGTAATTTTCAATCCTTATTTTTAAAGATTCATATTTCCAAGATCTATTTCAAAACTGGTCCACATAGCCTCAGATACATAAAAGATGGCCAAAACAGAGATGATCCGGATGTGGTGAGGAGGCAGGGAGGGTTTAGCCTCTTCGTCTGCCTCACTTTCCTGAAGTCGCCGTCAGGTCACCACAGTGAAACAAAACAATGAACCAAAATGCACTCAAGTATAACATAAGCAGCAAATTTTAACTAGTAAAGCAAAAGTTTCAGTAAGATACTTTATAATAAATGCACAACATGGAAATACTAGCACACATATAGATTTTCTATTTAGAGAGGGCCTAAGCTATTCAGTTACTACTTATCACATGCAAGATCAAATACTCCACTAATTATACACATAAAACTCTTTACAAACCAACCAAATGGATTTCAGTACACCTGAGTGATAGAAGAGAAGGTAGCCATGAAAATGGTGATGACAAAGAGTTCTTAAACATGGAAGAATACTTCCTAGCTGGTTTGGCTCAGTGGATAGAGTGTCGCCTACAAACTGAAGGGTCCCAGATTCGATTCCGTCCATGGTTGCAGGCTTGATCCCCAGGAGGGGGCATGCAGGAGGCAGCCGATCAATGATTCTCTCTCATCAGTGATGTTTCTGTCTCTCTCTTCCTCTTCCATCCTCTCTGAAATCAATAAAAACATGTATTTTTTTAAATGTAAAAATATAATAAAATGTTAAAGAAAAAAGTAAGAATTACACTGTTGATATAAAAATGCCCAGACAACATCTGAGCAGAGATCTGCTAAAACACCAACGTGGTTATTGCTAGGTGGGTTTCTTGCTTTTTTTAATCTTATTTTGTTTTTAAAAGGAGGAGGAGGAAAAAAGGCAGGACAAAAGGGGGAGGAGGGGAAGGAAGGGAGGAAGAGAGGAAGGAAGGAAAGAAGGAAGGAAAGACAGAGTAGCTTAGACATCCTTTGGGCTTAAAAGTCAATAAAAAGATTTTACTTAATATACTGGCCAACAGTAAAAATATCCTGTCTCTTAAGTTAAAGAAGAAAGAAAAAAAAAACTAGTCTTTTAATGACAACCAAGTTTTGATCATACTGCCCCAACCAACACTCATTCAGTCTGATATATGCAGAAGTGGGTAATTAACCTTTCAGGGATCTGAAATGTGTTATCCCCGGCTCGTTGAGCAGCTTGCCGTGTGGTGCTCCCTGCACAGCAGGACCGTCAGAAGGCCCAGAGAGGGGGTGCTGGGCCATGAGCAGGGAAGGAGCAGCCAGCTGGGCAGGAGGCCATCCCCAGTGCCACGCACTCACCACGTCCAGGTCCTGGGAAACCCGCCGCTTGCGCAGCTCCTCCATCTTCTCGCACACGTCGGAGAAGTAGGTGTTGTAGTAGTCTGCATACTGCTGGGCCAGGTCATCGATGTTGCCCAGGGAGCCGTCCTGAAGGTGAGGAGGGCAGGAGGGAGAAAAAGGAAAAGAACAGTCAGTCCACCTGCAAACGCCCCACACCATGACGTCTCCTTCTCCACAGAGCTTTCAGTGATCGCTGGCACTTATTAATGGGGAGCATGTGCCAGGTGACATTTCCTAACGTCAGCACAGCTCCTGGACACAGGGCCTACTTCCTTGCTGTGTAGACAGACAAACCGTAACTCCAAGAAGTTGAGCAACAGCCCCAGCTGGCAGGACTAATGAGCAAAGAAGCCAGGCCCCAGCCTGGGACTCTGTGGTACCCAAGCCACAGCGAACCCACACTTCTGCCTGCTTAGCCTGGCGAAGGGCAGCCCCAGGGAAGTCGCTTCAGCAGAGGCACGTGTCAGTACCAGGCTCCCTAGAGCCCCGTGGGCCTTGGCTGCATCAGAACCTCCTGGGAGGCTTTTGTTAAGTCCTGATGCCAGGACACCACTCCCAGAAGTTCTGACTGGCACCAAAGATTTCAGGAACCCATGGGGAACGCTGCATCTGGGACACCCCTGAACCATCCCCTCCTGGGAGACCCTCAGGAAAGTGGAGTCATTCATTTCAAGTACAGATGCAAAGGTACACATTACAATGTCTCCTAAGTAAATAAGGGATCACATCTGTTTCTTTCCTGAGGAAAGTGCCAGAGAGTACGCCCACACCCCAGAGTTCACACCCAGCTCGCTGGCGCGGGTGGTTCCATGACCTCAGGCACGTTCCTCACCTCTGGCACCACGGGGAGAGCAACAGTCCCTCCCTCACTGAGAGGAGGAATGAAGGATCATAAACCACTTAGAACTTGGCCCATCCACGTCCACCTGGCACCCAGTAAGTGTTCAAAAGCTCTGCAGTTAATAACATTCACTGCAAGGCCATGTTTCCGACGACAGTCTTCCTTTAAGGGAGTTGATGCCAAAATCCGTGTCTGAACACATAACACCTACGATGACAAAAATGCTGCGGCCACTTGTAAGTTATGCCCTTTCTTCTGGTCATTCCTTCCTCCCTCCCTCCATTCAGAGAAAGGTCTCCCCTTCCCCTTTTCACCTCCCAGCACACCTTCCTTTGGTTTGAGTAAATGACCCCACCAAGACAACCCAGAAAAATGACTTTACCAAGACAGTCCCAAAACAGTGCAAGATTTTAGACACCCCGAAAGGTGCACACCCTTTCGATGCCACAGACCCCGGGCTAGCCTCTCGGTGTAATTCACAGCAGCACACTCCCCCCCCCCTCCCCCGACAGGGAATCGTGTCTCATACTGAAAAGCACCGTTAGAGGCAGCTCAGGTCTGGGGACTGAGACTTCTCCAGAGCCTCGTGCTTGCATGCAGACCTCACCACCCACTCCCACCCCTCCCCCACCCCCGGGTCAGGAGGCTGCTTCAGGACAACCATCTTCACTGCCGCCACTTCTGCATTCCCCGATTTTACAGAACTAAACGGGGAAACAGAAATTGAAAGCAATGAATTTTTAGAAAATATTTTCCTTCCCCACGTTTGCGGTAATTGCCCCCAGGTCCCCAGGATAGAGCTCGTCCAAGACCAGTGAGATATGTGAACACGTCTGGGCAAAAGTCGCCCCCTCGCTGTCTGAGAGGACAGGCTGGATGGACCGTGTAGAGATGTAGGAGCCGACCCTGCTCTTCAAACGTTCACTGTCGAGTACATTAGGAAATGACATCAGTCCGAGTGGGCTCTGTGCTGAGCCTCCGAGGAAATACACAGAAGCGGCCAGCCTTTGCTTTCCTGTCTTCAGGCAAGGAAAGTGCCAGAAAATAGTCCCTCTTAGGAAAGGGGTGAGGTTCCTGAAATAACTTGCTAAATCAAATCACGATGCAAAGGTTTGCCCTGACTCACCTCAACTCAACAGCACATGCCATCCGGGCCACGGCACAAAAATCTGAGACCTCCCACTTGATTTTCCTGCCTCCTAATCTGCACCTGACCTGCTAAAGTGACCTTGCTATACTAGTAAACAGATCGGATGGGGTCTCTCGCCCCTGGGAATAAGCCATACCACTGCCATGCCCCATCCTACAAAGTAAGCTCCAAGTTTACCAGTCCGGCGTGAGGGCCCTTCACCTCCCTCCCCCGTTCCAATCCATGGAGGAAGGAGCTAAGGTGTGCAGATGGGGCGGACCAGCAGGGCCAGACAGCCATTAACAAAGCCCCCAAGGTGGCAGCTTTCCTGCCAGTGGGCCCTCTCCCACCCCGTGCACCTGGGCTAACACCAGGAAAAAGTACTAAAAGAACCTTCAGCAAAGAGGGAGGGCACATGAGCTTTTCCCATGGGAACATCTGTCCTGACTACCAGCTGCTATCAGCTGGGACTGTGAGAGCTCAGGGCCCACCCAGGCGATTTTCCGCAGCTTCCTCCGCCAACGGGGAGCACCTGGCCAGCTCTGAGGGCAAAGGGAGCCCAGCTACCTTCCTCAGCGTCTGCCTCCGAGTAACCTGGGATGTTTGCTACACACTTCAGAGAAACAAAGCCCTCACCATCCCGCCAGTTCTCACCAAGGAACACTTACTGGGTGCCAGGAACCCATTGGGAACGCTGCATCTGGGACACCCCTGAACCATCCCCTCCCTTTTCTTAGCTCCCTTGCCCAGCACAGACTGAGAGAGACCAAGGAGCTCCCTTTGGAAGGTATCAGAAGGTGGAGGGCAGCACAGGACGTTCACACTTTATCTGAAACCCAGTTTTATGAGTTTTCACCCTCATCTTGCTACTCCCCACAACAACTAGGGCTCCTGGGAGACCCCGGGCCCCCTAGAGTGCTCTTGGTCTCCCCAGAATATGATGCTGTCCTCACCCAGAAACCTTTCATCCATCCAGGAAATGAAACATACCTGCCATCTTTGACCAAGTACAAAGCCACATCTTCTAATACCTGAGAGCCTGTTAGTCGTGTTACACATCCTTAATGGAAATTAACACCTATCTATCATTTATCTATCTATCTATCTATCTATCTATCTATCTATCTATCTATCTATCCATCCATCTATCTATCTATTTCTCATTTACAGAGGCACTAGGAGTTGTAGTGTCCCAGCCAAAGCACTCTCATCTGGAATTCTTCCTTCTCACAAATGTAACCAGCCTTTATATGATCTGTACAAGTTATCACAACCCACTGTTTCCATGGACTAAATCAAGGCCACTGCAAAAAAATAAATAAATAAATAAAAAATAATCAAACAATCATTAATGTAGCTTTGCTCACTTCCTTTTTCCCTTTTCCTCTCCCCTCTCAAATATCCTACCAAGGCCTTCCAAACCAACTGTTCACTGCAGTTCCAAAGTTTTGAAGCTGTTGATCAAACATTTTTCCTACTAGGAAAAGCATTTAATCCCCCAGCCCTCACTCGAACTTCCTAGCAATGTGGGAGCCTCAAAATATATCCGCAGCTCGTGAGGGAGAAAACAGCTGTTCAACTAACTCAGGCCAAAGACAGCAAACATCATAGGCTGCGGTCTGCACGCCACACTTGTTGCTCAGCAAATGATCCTTCAGAACAGGGTGGCTCAGCTGCCTCTGTTTTCCCAAATTGCTTTCCAGATGTGCACTAAGTCCCCATAATTAGCACTTTCATCAGTCTTGATGATTTAAATGCCAAGAAAGGCAAAAAAAAAAAAAAAAAAGTATTTCTTTTTTTTAAGTTGGTTCAGTCTGCCATCCCCAGAAAGGAGCCCTTCCCATCCATCTCGTTCGGGACTATCTAAAAACATTTGCATCATTTCTACCAGACATGTTCTTGCTTGAGATAGTACAGACCTGTCAGTAAAAAATATTTACCTCACAAAAAATGTTTGCAACATTAGTTGTAGGGAATTTAAATAATGCAGCTGTATTTAGATAGCTCCCCGCCTAGTACGCGTCTTTCCTTTGGGATTGTGAAGTCCATGACTGACTCAACACCCTACAATGCCAATGGCTGGAGGCATTGATGTTACAAAATAAAATAACTATAGCAACTTTAAATCACTTCTAATTTATTATAATAAATACAATTATGAGAACATTGAAACCAACTCCCTTTTAACCTTTTTGTTTTTAATTTTCTGCTCCAGAGTTTAATACTTGCCTAATCTGTTTCACTTCTTCTTTGATTCTCATGCATTAGAGGCTGAAGCAATATTTATTCAATTTGGGGACAGGGGGAAACTTTTTTCCCTCAAAATAGTTCTTAAAATTGTGAAATTTTGTGTCACATTATTGCTTTACAAGCATTTTCCCAACCCCAACAGAGAGAGAGAGAGAGAGAGAGAGAGAGAGAGAGAGAGACATGCAAGTTCAAGTTCTCTTCCCTTTTCTTGTTATAGATCATGTCACAGCACCTTTCCCTGTGGCTACCCAGTTCACTGGCACAGACCTGAATTAAATCTATGGTACCACTATCAGTGTCAGCTCCATGGAAGACAATACTTGTTTATTCTTCCTGCAAGGCCATAGCACACATTTCTACAAAACACCCCTCTCTTACACACCAGCACAAAAACAGACATAAGGGGCCATGTACCAAACAGTTCAGACTAGGAGTGGGTTGAGGTGGGGGGCTGCTTTTACAATTAAGGAGAAAAGAAACAAAGTACTGTTCTCCCAACTACTGACTTAACAGCACTTCTGATATTTACCTCCCAGGGTATTTCCGTCTCTGGAAAAAGCGAAAACTAAGTGCACTACGAGATTGTTATTTTTGTTTCTACTTTCCCCAGATGTCATATTTTGGTTTAGAATATCTTCACAAGCTTGGAGGGAAGAAAAAAAATTACTCTGAAGACCCCAGGAGACACATGTAATCTGTAAGACTGTTTGCAGATTACATGCAAATGAATGCAAATAAATGTTCGGCCTTGCTTTTCTAAATACTATGCATAAAAACACGGCCTCAAGGGAAACTCGATGTGTTGCTCTGAATGCCCAAAGTTGAGACTCCTGGCTTAGTTATTTATTGTGTCTCTACCTTTTCCGT